TTATCTCCACTGCGCACTGAAAACACAGCTTGGGATTTCAGTAGCCTTGCACTAACCACCTGCACTTTACACTAATCAGAATGACACTTTAAAGTGAAATAGAAAATGTTCCATAATACCTTATTAGTTAACAAAGACTGTAAATAACTCAAATCAAACACTGTGATGGTAAAGAAAAATTTCACACCTGAAATCCAACAATAGGACACTATCTGGCTGTCTTTCTCAGGTATCTGTCCATTCGAAAGTATTACCCTCTAGGTTTCCAAATATTCATGTAACTCTCGATCAAAGCAATAAATCAATGACCCCAGGTGCTTTCACAGCACTCAAGTTTATGTAATGTACATGGAGACAAGTCATATTTACAGAGCCTAGACGTTCTAAAGTCAACCCTACAGGAATGGCTGAACTCCCACCGGCTGTGTCACAGAGCAAATCCCTTAATTTATGTAAGTCATAGCCCCTCTATCTGAAGGAACCCTCCCATCTGGAGTCAAAGTGACAACAGAAACCAAGAAGTACACATGGGTTTGTGATATCAACTGGAGGAGACGTCAAAATCCAACTACAGTCTCTGTTTGATGTGTGTGGCAGCACCTGAACACTCAAGGTTACAGTTTTTGAAAAATGCTCGGACATCTCTAAAGGCCTGGGACACATGTGCTCAGGGTCAGGGTAAACTAAGAGAAGGAGCGTGGAACTGCTCATTATACCATTTACCAGAATGAAAATGGTGGGAGACAGTTTGCATCTGTAAACAGTACTAACATTACAAACAGTCTCACCACTCAAAAATATCAACAAAACTTTCAAAGAAAAATTAGATATCAACAACACACTGGAGGTCTTTTCATTATACATTTAGTTCATAATGTGCTAGAGATTTCAATCAAGTAAGAAAAGAGGAGTGGAACATATGCATTATTTCTACCCATTTTCTGTTTTGTTTTGTCTTTCTTTACATAAAATTTTAAAAAAAAAGACGAGTGGGAAGAGGAGGACAAGGGGCAACTAGGGGAGGGTAGAGAAGACGGGAGGATTAGAAAATTGTGGCATAAGCAACAAGCTAAATGAAAAGCCGCGGGTTTGGCTAATGTAGCAAATCCACCAAATACTTTAAACAAGATAAAACTACATAATGAAGGAACATATCATTGTGCTAGAGTTGGCAAAAATAGTTCATTTTAAAAGATCTAGATATTTTTTATATTTTCACCAAGAACATTTTATACTCCCTGTCACAGTGCTTGGTATATATGAGTAACAAGCACTTGAGGATCAGTTAGTAAGTGGTTGATTACTGGAAATAAATGGGAAATGGAAAAAGAATGAATATTCAAAATAAATCTCCAGTATCTGATACTACAGACCTGCTGCTTCTCCATTTTAAAATGAGGGTTAATGTGTGAAAAGTAACATGGCAGAGTGAAAGACAAGACTTGGATTTGGACAGACTCAATATTAAAATCCTGGCTTTACTCTTAGTGGCTTTGTCCTCAAAAACATCACTTAATCTACGTAAGTCTTAGTTTCCTCCATCTGTGAAATGGGGACTGCAATATCCACCTTATAGATATAGCAAACCAATGATTTTGGCACCTGGAACAAACTATACAAAACCAGCTCTCAAATCAATTCTGTAATTCATAATGTGGCACATGCAGATGGGTGTTACTAACAATGCTCACCATCTGGTAGCTTCCTGTTTTAAATAATTATTCTTGCTAAGTAGGTGCCAACTTTTAGAATCATTATATTAAGTGTTTGCACCCTCTAAATTTTGGTATTCTTAGACAAAGCCCAGTACGACCAGTCATAGTTGAGTTCTTAAGGTTTATTCTGAAGAATACATTATTCAAAATAAGGTAAGAATCACATTTTGTGCAGTGACAGGAACATGACAGACACCAAGTCGTTACTATTTAACCCCTTTGCCACTCTCTATAAAAAAACTATTCCAATAAGACTACCCTGCGATAAAGCTAATTCTATCGGCCGCTTCCAATAATATATAAACATGACAGGAATAAAAGGGTAAGTGCTGTAACATTCCCTTAAAGATTCATGTAGATTTCTCCGACCTTGACCTCTGGGTCTTCTCTCTTAAATCCACAAAGACCTGAGAATTTAGAAGAGCACCTTCATTCCAAGAAGCATTTCTAGACTAAGAGAAGAAATGAATTGCCAAGTTCAAAAAGAATCCAAAGTTACCCCGACCAAGGCGTGCTTCTCTGACCAGGCGGGCACAGAGAACTGCTGCCTTTGTGCTTCGCACCGAGGCTCAGCTGCACCAACGGGAAGCGGGAAAACACCAAGCCACCCTTACAGACCTCCTAACAGCCACATAGCTCCTTTTTCAAGAACAGTCCAGCAACAAAATAACACGGCAATCTCTATATAAAGTGTTCCTACTTAACTGCAAAAGATTTCTTTTCTAGATTATCAGACATCCAGAAATAACTATTTATTATAAAGTGTGCCAACTCAACCCAACGTCACAAGAACCACCATTAAGAGAGTTAAATTAAAACCATTTATGCATATTATCAATTCTAATGATGTCACACTAGAATGAACTTTCCCCAAGGAAGCATCTTTGCTGAGCATAACTGTCAAATCAAGCTCACAGGCCAGAATCCCCAACTCTCCCACAAATTAGAGGACGATGTCATATGTCCACTAGGCAGTGATAGAGTACTCTCAAGTAGAATCCAGACTGCAAACACTGCTCCAACTGCACTCTTTTCACACAGTACAGCATATCACCATCAGGACTGAAACAGATTCTTTTATATGTTGACAAAAAATTAAATCTGAAGACAGGAGATAAGTGTTTTAAAAATCAGAAAGAAAAAAATTAGAATTTTGTGACTGTGATTCACATACTCTGTCTAAATAAAACTGACCACATTATGAACAAACAATAAAAGACTAAAAACAATAAATCAATTATTAACTTTCTGGATTTGATGGCACATTAACAAAAAAACCTAATCCATAGCAAGAATGGGTACTGTGCTGGGGATTTAGCTCGGCGGCCCAAGCGCCTGCCTTGCAAGTTCTCAGTCCTGAGTTCAATCCCCAGTCCCAAAAAGAAAAAAAGGCTGCAGTTTTAGGAAGACAGATGAACATAAATAGGAGAACATGTTTAAATGACTAACACTCCTTAAGACAGAAGTCTAGTAGGTTTAGTATCAAGTTCCAGTGGAAAAATAATTCACCAAATACAAATCAGCAAAAGAACTAAATGAGGTATTGCTTGTTATTTGCTGATATGCGTGTATAATCTTCATTGTGAAACGATTTTTATTTTTTTGGTGCCATCAAGTGGTAACATTATGAAATGTTCTAAGATTAATGTTAGACAGAAAGATGTCAGACCAATGTGTTTTGCCTGTGTCAATTAAATAGCAGGGAAAATTTAGCACATAATTATCTGGAAAGGGGGAATCAGAGCAGATTTTTTGCAACTACGCCTCATTTAAAACCCCAAGCCAAGATCAGAGATAAGGCAAAGAATAAAAGTAAGTGGAAGTTTGAGACCAGAACGCTCCACTAGCAAACAAACACAACAGACTATGAGCCATTTCTAAAACAGAATCAGGAGAACAACTAGCTGCAGTATTAGATTTCCAATTAGAAACCTTACCATTTATAGCTACAATTACATAAAACTTAACAGGAAATGAGTATTACAATCAATTATTTGAAATTATGTGTTAATAGATTATAAATGATTATATATCAGTACCTTCAGTAAGACAATAATCACGAACAAAGAAACAAATAACAAGATCTATTACAAAGCATTCAAAGCTTTTTAGTCCCCAGGCCCACTGAAATACCTGTAGACAGCAATTGTGAATCTGAATTTCCAGCTAACGATGGCAACTTGAATACATTCATCTAGCTGTGTCCCACCTGAAACCCTACTAATATGGGAACATAGAATGTGTTTAAGGCAAACCCCACAAGAGCACAAAGAATGAGGGAGAAGACAGCAGCAGGGAAATTCTAGAAGCTAGAAAATACATGAACAAGCGGTAACTAACAGCAGAGCCAAGACACTGACTGACTTATACGGCACAGTAGTAGCTATGAACGCAGCAGAGAGAGCTAGAAGTAGGAGATTTGATCAATAGACTGCTTAAGAAGCAGTTCACAATTCACACACGCATGCGCACACCCTGTTCCACAGCCTGGTGTGCATCCTTATGCCATGGATGGCATAAGGAACTGAAGTTCACGCTTAGGAAGAATAAAGCAGAAGGCTAAATAGAAGCTGACAGGCAGGGCATCCTGCAGTAACACGAGTTAATAAAACAGGAGACTGTGGTTATCTGAACAGCAATGACAAATCAAAGACCACTGAACAATGAAAAGGATGCTCTTTCTGGAAAGAAAAGCACTGGAAGAAAGTCCTATCAACCTCTAATTCCTGTGTCCAAAAAGTCACTTACCTAACTGCAGCATGCTTCAGTCAAAAAACAAAAACAAAAGACCATGCTTTAAAAAAAAAGTTCTACTTTTTGACACTGAGTTACATTTAATTCATTATTATTATTATAATCTAAATTAATCAGATGTGAATTTACTGCAACTAATAAAGAACTCAGTGGTATATAAACTCAAAGACATTTTATACTCTTAGTTTTAAAAGCCCATTTCACTTTCTTTCAGCTGTTGAGAGCAAAAGCGCTAGAGATTCTCTGTCCGTCCTGCTGCCGAACAACATGGTCACATCAGGAAAGACAGTTATTCATCCATGCAAAGGAGTTGGAGATGTGTTCGTTTTTCAACGAACCTCACTTTTGTAGATCAACTGATCAAAGTATTAAGTTCAACACCTCTGATAACGTCACCTAGATTTACTAATTTCTCATGTTCAGTGTTGTGTCAACACAGGATTAGGAAGAAGACATAGTTACAGACTCATGCTTTTCTGCAGACACCGACATAAGAGCATGTCACAGCATAGCGACATGGGTGAGCTGTACCTTGAACACCTTCCAGGAGTAGGTCGACTCCCTTCCTGTAAAAATCAGAAGCAGCTTCATAGTCATCTTCCTCTTCCTTTTTCAAGGCCAGTTTTATTAGTTCTCCAGCTTTCTCCAAATAATCTTTCTTGCCAAGTTTAGGTTTTAAACTGCCAGGAAAGAGGCTGCGACTCTCCCGTTCTTCTGTTTTGTTCTGTTCACTGTCAGAAGCAACGGCCCCTAGTGCTGAAGAATCCGAAGAAAGACTGAGGCCAAAAGTTCTAACGGGAGAATTGCGATTGGAAGCCATTCCATCATCTAACTCGGCAAGAGAATCCACATCAACAGTGAGAGATAACAGATCACTGTCACTGGAGAAGCCTAGAAATAGGACCACAACAGCAAACATATTAAATTCGCATCAGCCAAAAGAATACAAATCACACTGTTCATTTTCTCACACTGTCCAAGTCAATTAGGAAGACTGTAACCTACTGATGGGAGTCTGTGGCCAGCAACTTGCTTTAATCTAGTGCACTAACTTTCATATCGTCTCTTTATAGCTGAGCAATAATCTCGCCTTAAGCACCTAACTAAAACTGAAGACAAGTCTCCACCCAGCCCCACAGTCAAAAAGAGTCTTTCAGTCAGGCGTGGTGATGCCCACCCGTAATTCCTGCACTTAGGGGCTGGGGACAGGAGGATTACCAGGAGTTCCAGGCCACAGTGAGCTACACAGAGAGACTGTCTCAAAAAAACAAAAAAGAACTCTTAGCACAAAATCTTGAAGACTGTTTACAAAAAACAACTTCCTGAACACACAGCTGCGTAAATACCACTCCATTAAAGGGAAAAGAACAAAAGCTTCAGAGTAAGACTAAAGAAACAATTTTAATCTCAGCTCTTAAAACTTACAGTATGGCCCACAGTAGTAATTTCTTAATATGAGGAATAAAGCTAATGCATTTAAAGCATAATAGACTGTCATGAAATTATAACTGTTTATGCCAGTTATTTAATAATTAAATGTAATGCATCCCCAGAATTGAGCCTTCAGTTCACCATCCTTATCTGGAAAATGTACGCTATTTACAATTTTTTTTTTAAGGATTGAATTTTAGAATTTTTGTTTCGGCCTCTTCCACAGGCTTTTGGAGAGAACTTCAGATTAGACTTACTCTTCAGTTTTCAGACAGAAAATGAATAGTAGGTATCAAAGAACTATTTAGCAGTGAAAATTACTTCTATTTCATGTGACTTCATGGTGGATAAACACAATTTGTAACAACAGATGGCAAATCATGTGGTCTCAGGACTTCTCTTTACATTCTTAAAAATTATTTAGGACCGCAAACAGGTTCTGTCTATGTGGATTATACCTGTAAATATTTGCCAAAATTATACTGATTTAAGAAAGTGGGACTAAAACATTAAGGAGCATTACATATTAACATAAATTTCATGAAAAATAACTATTTGCTAAAACAAAAAAATACTGAGAGAAGTAGCATTCTTTCACATTTTTGTAAATCATGCTAATGTCAGGCTTAACAATATGACTACAGGTCTGGGGATTTAGCTCAGCGGCATAAGCACCTGCCTTGCAAGCAGGTGGTCGTGAGTTTGATCCCCGGTACCGATAAAAATGAAAAAGACAAAAAAAAAAAAAAAAAAAAAGAATATGACTAGATTCGCATTATCTGACTGGGCAACATCCATCATCGTATGTTATTTTGGTCAAAAGATACGAAGAAAATATCACATGGATATGAGAACAAGCATTTCTATAGCCTTGGCAGATAACTGTGGATATTCTTGTTTGATTCTACACTAAAATTCACAAGAAATAACTTCTTAAAGCTAATTGAAATATGGAATACAAAATCCTATTAATGAAATTCCTATTTCTGTTACAGCGGAATCCACTGGTCCGTCTTGTACACAAGATGGATCTATCACCCAAGTTGGAGTTTGTAGCACAGGGGTCATTTTAGAAATAGCGCTTCCCTGAGTTACAACACAGATCTTCCAAAAGCTGACACAACATTTCATTACTACAATATCCCCGAAAATCACATTTATTGAAAATACCACCAATCTCATCAGAAAATTATTTAAATACTAAGCAATTCTTGAACTCAAAGTTGTAGAAGTCACACAAAATTCCTCCTGTGAGGCTGAAAACTCATTAGCAGCAAACACTATTAAACTGTTTTCCTGAAAGTCTCCACTACCTTCAGTCACTTTCAGGAAGAATGAACCGCCAAATACCCAAGTTTCAGTAACAGTAGTGTCAACTGTTCCCAGCAAAACGGTGTCCCACGAAACAGTAGCATTTTATGTATACTTCCAATTCTTCACACAGAATATTAAACAGACATGCATCCAAAGGACAAGCTTAAATAAAAGTCTTTACTGCTTGCGACCGTTCTGAGGAGAAATTAGCACTGGTTTTGCTAAAAGCACGGCAGTGCCTAACTGCTACCATTTGGGGTCACTGTCCTGACCCCCAGGGACAGCAGTTTTACTCCCAGGGTTTCTGATGATAAGTGCAAAGGTCAACAGGGTGAGAAGGCATGGAATGCCCTGGTATCATTATCCAAACAGTGTCTGCCCTCTGCTCCCCAGAAAGACCTCAGCAGCACCCAGAGGTCTGAGCACCACACTCGCATACGCTTAGATTTACAATTCAAGTTATGTACAAAAATAGCTGGGGAGCAACTACCGATATGAGACCCCGTCACCCCGACTATTAACTGCAGGGTTTCTCAGAAAAGAAAATGATTTCCTCGGGGCTAGACACTGACTCAAAGCTGACAGTGGATTAGACTACACGATTCCACCGCTCTAAGATCAGGGATCAGCTAACGCTTGTCCATGAAGAGCCTGAGCATAAGTGTGCCCAAATCCATCACCACATGGTGTCTGTCACAGCCATGAGACAGAACCAGGCGGAAACGCAGGGTGTGTCTCAGTAAGACTTTATTTAGCACGCTAAGATTTTAATTCCATGTCATTTTCACGTCATAATACAATATTCTTGCAGGGGGAAGGTTTAACCACTGAAAGAACGTGAAAACTACTCAGTGCACAGGTCACCTGGAACAGGTAGCTGCCGGAGTGGCCCCTGGGCCCTGGTTTGCCTCCCTCTATTACAGACCCAAACTGCTCACTTCATATGAACAGAGTAACTTAGGGCCAAAACCTGTAACCAGCAGCTAAGCTCAATTTTCCAGTCAGTTTTAGACACCACTTTGGCACCCTGTCAATATACCCTTATTTTCACCTTTTTTCAAATCCTTAGAATCCCCATAAAGAACTGATTCTCTTCCCCAAAACCAACAGATTTCATTAGCCCACCACCTCGAATGGGATTCACAAGACCTAGGGGAAATCATTTTGTTGTCTGTATTCCAGCCTGCAGGCAGAACTTCATACTCAGAACCTGTTACAGCAACATCAAAAGTTACTCATCCACTACTGTGAGAACTATGAAAAACTTGAAGAGATTTTTAAAATGTTGTAGGTGTTTCAATGCAAATTTGGTTTTGACAATGGTGCGATCATATAATGTAACACACTGAAATTAATACACCATTTAATTGGAAAGAAGTTCTGGTTTATACAGCTAATCACAAAGGAAACGCCGCATTACAGACCTATTGTCTGTTCTCCGTGTCTTGCACTGTAACCTGCACATCATCTATCACATTGTTCTATTTCACGCTGTGCCTGATTTTCATTTTGAACAAGAACAATACTAGCAAAGGGCAAAGGGTAGTTATGTGGACTCCGTTTCTTGGCTTTTGACCACAAACATCTAGGAATCACACTTTCTTTTACCTTTGTAGCCTTATTTTATTAACAAAGAGAATCATTAGTTAAACGAAATTATACGAGAAAAGTATGACCACCAAATCATCTAGGGAGAAAGAATGTGAATTTAAGTAAATAAATGTTCTATACAAAATATTTCCTTTTCAAATTCTACCTGATTTCTAAATGAAGACCTCTTTACAAGCAAGCAAACAACAAAAAAATGCAAGAAGGTCAGGAAGAGACACATTTTTGCCAAACAGTGAGAAACAAAAGGAAAAAAGACTTCTGATTAATCTTTTTGGAGGACAACTTGGCAATATATATCAAAAGCAGGAATACTACTTTTATCTCTAACCTGGAAATTCAGCATTTACACCAAAATCAATCATAAATATGCAAAAAGATCTATGTACAAGAATGCTTATCAAAAAATGAGAAAATTTGGAGATAAAATTTTTGAGATAACCAATTTCTAACAATAGGCAAATAACTACAGCACCTCCCTATGATTAAAAGTTATACAGACATTAAAAATCGTACTATGGAAGAACACTTAATACTACAGTATTCATGATATATCATATAAAAATGTCACAATGCAAAACAGTATGTACACCATCACTGTAATTTTAAAACACAAACACACATGGGGAAAGAAACTAAAAGTATACACTGTTAATAGTAATCTCTTGTTTGGTAAGATTGTAGGTGACTCTGTAACAAGAATTTCACAACATTCTTTGTATGCAGTAAGCCCTTAAGCTCTGTATCTGAAAAATATCAAAGGAAATGATACGATGACTAAAACTGAGAATTTGCTTGGGACTAAAGTTAAAAATATTACTAAAAACATCTCCTTAGCCATACACCACAACTAACTGTTTTCCAGTACAAGCTAATACCATTTTTTCCATCTTTTAATTTCTCAATTCCTAACTGGAGTGTTCCCCAGAGTCCTCATGAAGGGTTTTGGTTTGTTTTGTTTTTTCCTTTTGGTGCTGGGGATCAAACACAGTGCCTCACACATGCTAGGCATGCACTCTGCAACTGGGCTCAGCTAACCCACAACCTCAAGACGACATCCTGCTATGCCTGGGAATGAAATGTCCCCAGAGGCCCATGTGCTAGACGCTTGGTCCCCATCTGTGGTGCCTCTGGAAAGAGGTGGAAGAGATTAAGTCGAAGGGGGCCTACTCTGAAGGAAACATGAGGCCTTCGCCCCTTTCCCTCCTTCCGTGCTCCTAGCTGTCATGAGGTAAGTGCTTTCCTCTGCCACCTGCTCCCACCATGATATTCTGCCTCACTGCAGGCCCAAAACTCAAAGTCACTGGACCATGTACTTTAACCTCTGAAATCGTGAGCCACAAAGATAACTCATATTTTAAAACTGCTTTCACCGTTATAGCAATGAGTCCCATTTATTAGCCAAATACCCAGACCTAATGTATTTATCTTATATCCTGAATACACTTGCTTAATACAGTGGTCCTAGAAATAATGATCCTGAAATTCGACTTGTTTTATACAGAATTACATATAAATATTACATGAGGTGGACACTC